AAATTTGATCTGCTCTATCCAGACAGCCTGCCCAATTACAATTGGTACCAGCCAGTTGCACATACGATACAACCCCTATTTTGATCGCAGCCGTTGAACATACAGCTTATCACGCTGGCATCCATCGTTTCGTGAGATATTTTGAAGAAGCTGGTTACATTTCTTCACCTGCCCACTACAGCTCCGATTTTGCCCACGGCGAACGTTGGCGAGCAGACGAAATTGTTGTTGCTCACTAAACACCCAAATGACGAGAAAAGTTGTGGGTATCTAACGGGCATCTTGTGTACCTGGCGGTGCAGTTGTATTGTAGACCAGAACTTTCTGTAATCCCTGGAAAGATTCTCGTGGTGAGGAAGATACACCGTATTCGCGATAATTGCAAACCCCTGCCCTCTCTTACGAAATGCCCTATACCGATTCTGGCTCGATACGACGGACACCCTGAAATTCAGGGACTATCAATCGACTGTGAAGATGCAGTCTCATGAAACTGCACCGTGTGTTCCGAGTGTGGATGTGGGTTGGGGGGGGAGGGGGGGGGGGGGAGGGGGGCTGCGCTGAAATTTTCTCTGCATTACACTATTCGCGACAGTGTTACGAAGCACGTACAAATCGCCACACGCTGCCGTCCAGGGGTGTATCAAAATAGGTAGTTAAGTTTAGAACCATGGCAGCTAGGAGGTGGAGAGTCGAGAGGGTTTTGCAAGCCAAAAAGAGGAGTTTGAGTATAGGGAGAGTAGTACAAATAGGCAAGAAAGAAAGAAAGGTGCACCACCAAACAGAAACTTCTATGACTACAGTATTCTACACTACAGGCTGTTACAAAACAATATATATAGTTATATATTATTCTGACACGCCCCCATAAGTGCCTGTAGGGAAGAAAGTGCAGTCAACGCCCCCATAATGGGGTACACCATACATGTGCAGCAGAAGAAACAGTAGCAGGCAAAAGCAGTGGTAACCGGTGCAAAAGTGGCAGAAACAGCTGTAGCCAACCCTCAGCCTAAGAAGAAGCAGTAACAGGTGTAGGGGCGGCAGGTCGCCTGAGGAGCGGGCTCTGTGGCTGCAACGTGCAGCAGGACAGCAGCGGCTCGAGGCAGCACCTGCAGGCCCCAACAGCAGACAAGAGAAACAAGGACAGGTGAGGCAGGGGCGGCAGCAGGAGGTGCCACGGTAGCAGCGGGTGGCAGCTGCAGATGCTTCTCTGTTTTCCCGCCACCCTCTCTAACCCTCCCCCCAACAGCAGCACGAGCGGTAGTGAGAGAGAGAGGAGGGGCGGCTGCTGGCTCTGCAGAATCTCTCTCGCCATCCTCACACACTCCCCCCGTTTCCCCTCACCCTCCCCCCCCCCCCACGGCGGAATCCACGGAAGGGAGGGGGGGGGCGTGGGCTGTCGATGGCGCTGGCGTCCGCGCTGGCGCTGGGCGCTGGCGTCCGCGCTGGCGTCGGTCGCTGGCGTCGGGCGCTGGCGTCCGCGCTGGCGCAGGCGACCGCCGTTGGGACTGGGCGCTGGCGTCGGCGCTGGCGCTGGCCTCTGCCGTTGGCGCTGGCGCTGACGTACGCCGTCGGCGCTGGCGCTGTCGTCGGCTCTGGCGCTGGCGCTGGCGTCGGCGTCGGCGCTGGTCGCTGGCGCTGGGCGCTGGCGCTCGCGCTCGCGCTCCCGCTGGTGGCTGTCGCTGGCGCAGTCGCGAACGCGCTAGCGGGTCGCTGACGCTCGCCATGATGTCCGCCGCGACCGTCGCCCTGAGCGCCGCGAAGAGGCAGGCGAATAGAAGGCGACGGGGGGCAGCGCGACGCGTTTAGCATAAGCTCCGGAAACAGCAGCAGATTTCGCACAAGCAGCATAGCGGGCCGCCATGGCAGAAGGCGGAGTTAGTGGGCCCATGTAGAATAGGTCCTAGAAAAGACCACACTCTGATAACATATCAAAATAGGTAGTTAAGTTTAGAACCATGGCAGCTAGGAGGTGGAGAGTCGAGAGGGTTTTGCAAGCCAAAAAGAGGAGTTTGAGTATAGGGAGAGTAGTACAAATAGGCAAGAAAGAAAGAAAGGTGCACCACCAAACAGAAACTTCTATGACTACAGTATTCTACACTACAGGCAGTTACAAAACAATATATATAGTTATATATTATTCTGACAGGGTGAAGGTGTCAACCCCCGCATCTTGGAGGACAGCTGTGCTCACCAAGTTTGTAGAGAACGAGGGGAGGTGGAGACCTGACAGTGACCTAGACGGAACCGCCAGATAGGGCAGAACAGTGGAGGAACGTGCAAGGACTGGGCCCCCAGAGGGGTCAGCCAAAGACATAGTAACAGGTGCAGTAAGTGGTGTGACTGTGGTATTGTTGCGAAAGAAACAGCGAGAAGCGCCTGAGTCAAGCGTGAAGGTGTGAAGGGCCGCAGCAGATTCAGTACCAGAGAGAGCAGACTCACCAGCACCTAGGGCAGCAGACTCACTAGCACCTAGAGCAGCAGCCTCTATATCTGGGTCTGGCAGCATACACAGGTAATAGTCACCCTCAGCACTAACAGACAATACATACATGGCAGATAGGATAGCATCAAAGTCTAGAGCAAAGATATCAACATTCTGCCTAAGCAGACCCCCCCCCCAGTCGGGGAGCTCAGCCGCGTCGGGGAACTCTGCGCGGAAGGCGTCGTTAAGGCGGTAGAAGCAGTAAGAGAGTCAGGGAGGCGGGTGACTATGAAGTCGAGCGTGATGTACATGGGGGGGGTTCTTGGTGAAAAACTCGGCGGGGAGCGCAGCACGGTAGCGAGTGTCACTAGTGCGGAGGTGAGTGACAAGGTCGGCTACTGCCGCAAAGGCGGTCAGGTCTGGGAACAGGTAAGGCAGGAGAAGGCGGCCTAGAGCAGCAGAGGCCGGGGAGGAGTAACGAGCGACTACAGCGTCGTACAGTGCTTTCGCTGTCTTATGCTGGCCAAAGTGGGCGTGCTCGGCTAACGGGAGGTGGTTGCGAACGGCTAGGCAAGCAGCAGCGTCACGGGTAAGCCACTGTGAGCGGGTCGCACTGTCAGCTGTGGCGTCAGGGGCAGGCGAGGCGCCAGAAGTGAGGTCAAACAGCGAGGTACCGTCCTTAGAGTCTATCAGAAGGAACAGTTGTAAATCGTCTAGCCATGCAGCGAACTCTATCGGGCGGCCCTCCGAACATTGAGAGTGGCGATAGCGAGCTAGGCAGGGGAACACGCTAGCAGTAGAGCAGCAGAGAGCGGCGCGTGGCGCGCACAGTAGGGCAGGGCGCACGGCAGGGCAGGGCGCGCACGCCAGGGCAGAGGCGCGCAGGCAGGGCAGAGGCGCGCGGGCAGGGCAGAGGCGCGTAGCGATGCGGCGCGCGGGCAGGGCAGAGGCGCATGGCAAGACAGGGCGCGCGGCGGCGCGGCGCGCAGGCAGGGCAGGCCGCGCTACAGCGCGGCGCGCAGGCAGGGCAGGGCGCGCGACGGCGGCGCGCTGGCAGGGCAGAGAGCGCGGCGCGACGCGCGGGCAGGGCGACGCGGCGACGTGACGCGCGGGCGTGAACAGTACTGGTTTTGCGAATGGGGACATGCTTGGCCGGATAAAACCCTTGGTGAGGAGGTAGTCTAGATGGCTCCTCAGCTAGTCGAGCTCTGGCTGGCTCAGCGGCTATTGCGTCCGAACGGTTGGTTGCGCGCTGGGCTCCAGCTAGATCATGTAGTCTGCTGGACGTTGAGGTAGCAAGCCATCCAGTAGGTCATCCGCTAAAATTTTGGGACACCTCTGAATATATTGTTCGCCAAGCCCTTGGGAAGATTAGTGCAGAGCATGTCAATGTTGGCGATTTTCTCAGAGTTTGCCACCTCGTACACGTGTACGGCGTTGCCTTGAGCCCCGCATGTGATTGCTCGCTTCATGGTGACCACATTAACACATGTCTTCACCGGCTCTGGCTCCGTCCAATTTCTAAGCATCACCCACCCCATGTTGCCTTGCACAGTGCATGCTCTTGTCGTCCAGGCAATCATCGGATTGAATCGTTGCAGCCAATCGCGCACTAGCAAAACATCGCATCCGTCCAATGTTGTCGCAAACATTTTCATGCTGAATCCAAAATTGTCGACAGTTTTCATCCAATGTTTCGAGCTTCATCTCGTATGGCCAGTGTGTCAAACATTTATGCTATAGTCTTTCTAGACTGTAGTGGGGTAGGCAGTGTGGGGTACAGTTTCCTAGGGTTACATATTTGTACCCAACTCATTTCCTAGTAAATCATTCCTCGTTACTTTCACATGGTATAGAGCAAGTTCCCTAGTGGGAACGTTTTTCGAGGGCCCACCACTAAAACGATTTTTTTTTTTTCCTTACCTGCCCGGAGCGCCCCGTGCGCCTGCCCTCCCGTCGCGTCCCCTGCCCTTAGCGGCCCGTCACGCCCCTTACGGCCCCTTCGCGGCCCCTTCTCGGCCCTTCGCGGCCCCTCTCGCGGCCCTTTGCGGCCCCTTCACGGCCCCTCGCGGCCCCTTCGCGGCCCTTCGCGGCCCCTCTGTGGCCCTTCGCGGCCCTTCGAGGCCCCTTCACGGCCCCTCCGCGGCCCCTCGCGGCCCTTCGAGGCCCCTTCACGGCCCCTCCGCGGCCCCTTCGCGGCTCTTCGCGGCCCCTTCGCGGCCCCTCCACGGCTCCTCGCAGCCCTGCCGCCCCGTCGTCGCCACCCCAGCAGCAGCTGCCGTCGCGCCTGCTGCCGCTGCCGCTTCCACCACGGCAATTCGCCGCCGCCGCTGCTACCGTGACAGCCGCCGCCGCTGCTGTTGAGACACCCGCCGCTGCTGCTACCGTGACAGCCGCCGCTGCCGTCCCGGCCCTACCTAGCAGCCGTGTCGCGGCCCTGCTCCTGCCGGCACACCTCGGCCTTGCCCCACCACTTGCGGGCTTCTACCCACCCGCCCCTGGTAAGCGCACCGCCGAGCTGCGCCCCTCCTGCTGCTGCTACTGCTAACCTGCTTCTGCTGCTGCTACTGCTGTCATGGCTAGTCCCAACGTTCTTACCTTTGATGTTGAGGGTCGAGCGGTAGACTTTGAGGTCTGGATAGATGATCTGCAGCTTTTCCTGCAGTGCGATAGCAAACACGACCTCTCACTTTTCAATCTCACGTCTGGCGCCTCTACTGCCCCTGCTGCCGATGCTGACAGTACTGTTCGCTTACAGTGGACCACACGTGATGCTGCTGCTCGTCTTGCTGTGCGTAGTCACCTGCCGTCCACTGAGCGCACGCATTTTAGCCAGTACAAGACTGTTAAGACCTTGTACGACGCTGTAGTTGCACACTACTCCTCCCCTGCCACTGCTGCCCTTAGTCGCCTCATGTTGCCGTACCTGTTCCCTGACCTCGCCGCGTTTGCCATAGTCGCTGACCTCATTACGCACCTCCGCACTAGTGACACCCGCTACCGCGCTGCGCTTCCTGCTGAGTTCTGCGCCAAGAACCCCCCCCCTACGTACATCACCCTCTACTACCTAGTCACCCGACTCCCTGACTCCCTTCGCTCGGTCAGGGACCACTTCCTCTCTGTTTGCCCCACCACACTCACCGTTGACCTCCTTGAGGAGCGCCTCCTTGCAGCCGAGAAGAGTATAGTCGCTGTAGGAGCCTCTCGTGGTGACCCTCGTGCCCCTTTCTTTGAGGGGTGTTCCCCCGTCCCCCTCTTGCCCTCTGTTGCCTGTGCTGCTGCTGTCGACCTCGTTGGCACCGAGTCGGTCGGCGCGACGTCTGCCCCTAGCGGGAGGCGCCGCAACGGCAAGGGCAAGGGGGGCAAGGTTGCTGGGGGAGTGGGCGGGGCGGGTGGTGGTGGCGGTGGGGGCGGCGGAGGGGGTGGGGGTGGCGGTGGGAGTGGTGGCGGGGGTGGGGGCTCTAGTGGCGGCGGCGGAGGCGGCGGCGGCGGTGGCGGTGGGAGTGGAGGAGGCGGCGGTGGCGGCGGTGGCGGTGGCGCTGGTTGGGGTGGCTCTGTGCAGAGGGGAGGCTTCGGTGATGGCCAGCGTTCGTAGCAGTAGCGCTCTCGTGAGACCCCGTCGCCCCAGCAGCTTCGTGAGTGGTACGTTGCGCGTCAGCGGTCTGGGGGTGCTGGTCCCTGTGCCTACGTCCTGCGTACTGGTGTGCTTTGGCCGCCTGACTGACGCCTAGCGTCTCCAGTTCCCTGATGCCTCTGAGATCCCTCGCTGGGGTGATTGCTCAAGTCGGGTATGTTTGATCTTGACTATGATGCTATTCTTGCTGCGATGTATGTTGTGTCTTCTAGTGAGGAGGGTGACTGTTGCCTGTGTGTTCTGCCTGACCCGGGCATTGCAGCTGCTGCTCTAGGTGCTCGCGAGTCTGCTGCTCCAGGTACTAGTGAGTCTGTTGGTCCAGGTACTGGTGAGTCTGCTCTCTCAGGTACCACGTCTGGTCAGGCTTTGCACACCTTCACCCTTGACTCGGGTGATTCTCGCTCCTTCTTTCGAGACCGCACCACCCTCACGCCGCTCAGTCGGCCGGTTGCGGTCTCCCTGGCAGACCCCTCTGGGGGTCCTGTCCTTGCCCACTTCTCCACTGTACGACCGTGTCACCTCCCTGTCAGGTCTTTACCTCCCCTCGTTCTCTACGAACTTGGTGAGTGGTGCTGACATGCAGGATGGGGGGGTTGACCAGTTCACTCCTGCGAGTCAGCGGGTGACCTATTGCACGTGTGCTCGGGCTGTCAGCAGGTGACCCAGTTTCACACAGTGCTGTCCCATCCCCCAGTCGCGCGTCAATCTCTAGCAAACACCTTGTCAAATTATAATATTGTGTAGGCTATAGTGGGGTAGCCCATATGGGGTACACATTTCTAGGGTTGCATATTTGTATCACTTCCATTCCTTAGTCATCCATTCTCGTTCTACTTTCCTCATGGTATCGAGCAGGTTCCCCCTTGGGAACTGTGCCTAGGGCCCACCACATCGAGTTTCAATTTTTTTTTTCCTGCCCGAAGCGCGCTCCGCCCGAGTCGCGCTCCGGGCTCTCACCTCGCCGAACCGCCCTAGCGGCCCCCTACGCCCTAGCGGCCCCTTCCCCTAGCGGCCCCGCCGCCCTTCGTTTCGGCCCCGCCGCCCCTTAGTGCGGCCCTGCCGCCCGTCACAGCGGCCCCGTCGCTCCGCATCGCGGCCCCGCCGCCCGTCTCCGCGGCCTCGCCGCTCGTCGCTGCGGCCCCGCCCCTACTCAGCGGCCCCGCCGCCCTTCTCCTCAGCGGCCCCGACGCCCTGCTCAGCGGCCCCGCCGCCCTACTCAGCGGCCCCGCCGCCCTTCTCCTCAGCGGCCCCGCCGCCCTACTCAGCGGCCCCGCCGCCCTTCTCCTCAGCGGCCCCGCCGCCCTACTCAGCGGCCCCGCCGCCCTTCTCCTCAGCGGCCCCGCCGCCCTACTCAGCGGCCCCGCCGCCCTTCTCCTCAGCGGCTCCGCCGCCCTACTCAGCGGCCCCGCCGCCCTACTCAGCGGCCCCGCCGCCCTTCTCCTCAGCGGCCCCGCCGCCCTACTCAGCGGCCCCGCCGCCCTTTTCCTCAGCGGCCCCGCCGCCCTTCTCCTCAGCGGCCCCGCCGCCCTTCTCCTCAGCGGCCCCGCCGCCCTACTCAGCGGCCCAGCCGCCCTTCTCCTCAGCGGCCCCGCCGCCCTGCTCAGCGGCCCCGCCGCCCTACTCAGCGGCCCCGGCGCCCTTCCGCAGCGGCCTCGCCGCCCTTCTCAGCGGCCCAGCCGCCCCTCGCACCAGCGGCCCTGCCGCCCTACACCGCCCGCGCCGCCCGAGCCGCCCGAACCGCCCGAGCCTCCCGAGCCGCCCGACCTGCCCGAGCTGCCCGAGCCGCCCGAGCCGCCCGAATCTCCTGAGCCGCCCGAGCCGCCCGACCAGCCCGAGCTGCCCGAGCCGCCCGAGCCGCCCGAGCCACCCGAGCCGCCTGAGCCGCCCGAGCCGCCTGAGGAGCCGAGCCGCTGGTGCCACGGAGCCGCAGTTGCTGCAATGCCGTCCGAGCAGTCGTGTTGCCGTGCTACTGTACCGCTGAGCTGCCCGACCCGCCCTACCTGGTGAGAGCAGCGCTTCTGTCACTGCACTGCCCCTGTCCTATAGTTGGTACTGCTAGTCCACTGTTGTCATGGCTACCCCCAGTGTTCTCGCTTTTGACGCTGAGGGTCGAGCCATCGACTTTGAGGTTTGGGTGGATGACCTGCAGCTTTTCCTACAGTGCGATAGGGCGGACAGTCTTTCCCTCTTTGACCTCACCTCTGGTGCTTCCCCAGCCCCTGCTGCCGATGCCGACGCCACTGTTCGCTCCCAGTGGGCCACTCGCGATGCTGCTGCACGTCTTGCTGTGCGTCGCCACCTGCCTAACACTGAGCGCGCGCACTTTAGCCAGTACAAGAGTGCTCAGACCTTGTACGACGCTGTCGTTGCACGCTACTCCTCCCCTGCCACTGCTGCACTGAGCCGCCTCATGCTACCGTACCTCTTTCCTGACCTTGCTGCCTTTCCCGCAGTCGCTGACCTCATTACGCACCTCCGCACTAGTGACACTCGCTACCGCGCCGCGCTTCCTGCTGAGTTCTGCGCCAAGAACCCCCCTCCCATGTACATCACTCTCTATTATATAGTCACCCGACTCCCTGACTCCCTTCGTGTAGTCATGGACCACTTCCTCTCAGTCTGTCCCACCACTCTCACTGTTGACCTCCTAGAGAAGGCCCTCCTAGCGGCGGAGAAGAGCATAGTCGCTGTAGGAGCCTCTCGTGGTGACCCTCGCACCCCCATCTTTGAGGGGTGTTCCCCTTCCCCCCTGTTGCCCTCAGTCGCCTCTGCTGCTGCGGCCGACCTCGTTAGTCTTGAGTCGGTCGGTGCGGCGTCTGCCCCTAGCGGGAGACGCCGCTCTGGCAAGGGCAAGGGGGGCAAGGGCGCGGGTGGGGCTAGCGGGGGTGGTGGAGGTGGCGGTGGGGGCGGCGGGGGGAGTGGGGGTGGCGGTGGGAGTGGTGGCGGGGGTGGAGGTGGCGGTGGCAGCGGCGGAGGCGGAGGCGGCGGTGGCGGTAGCGGTGGGAGCGGAGGCGGCGGTGGCGGCGGAGGTGGAGGCGGCGGTGGTGGAGGAGGTGGAGCTGGTCGGGGTGGTGCTTCTCAGCGGAGCGGCTCCGAGAGTGGTCAGCGCCAGCAGCAGCAGAAGCGTTCTCGGGACATCCCCCCTCCTCAGCAGCTCCGTGAGTGGTACACGCAGCGTCAGCGTGGTGGGGGTTTTGGCCCGTGCACCTACGTCCTCCGCTCCGGCGACCGCGCGGGTGAGCAGTGTGGGGGTGCTCACCCCACCCAGCGCTGCTTTGGCCGCCTGACGGACGCTTGGCGTCAGCAGTTCCCGGAGGCTAGTGAGATCCCCCGCTGAGGAGAGCTGTCTAAGGCAGGCGTAGCTATCTTTGATCTTGACTTTGATGCTATCCTTGCTGCCATGTATGCTGTGACTATTAGTGATGAGGGTGACTGTTACCGGTGTTTCCCGCCCGACCCGGGCATTGGTATTGCTGCTCTAGGTACTGGTGAGGCTGCTGCTCTAGGTGCCAGTGCGTCCGCGCCCTCAGGTGCTGGTGAGTCTGCGCTCTCAGGTACCACGTCGGCTTCGGCCTCCCTCACCTTCACACTTGACTCAGGGGCTTCTCGCTCCTTCTTTCGAGACCGCACCACACTCACGCCGCTTGGTCGGCCAGTTGCAGTCTCCCTGGCAGACCCCTCTGGGGGTCCTGTCCTCTCTCACTTCTCCACTGTCCTCCCGTGTCCGGCTGCCCCCTCTGGCACCTTGTCTGGTCTTTACCTCCCCTCGTTCTCTACGAACTTGGTGAGTGGTGCTGACCTGCAGGATACGGGGGTTCACCAGTTCACTCCTGCAAGTCAGCGGGTGACCCACTACACGGACGCTCGGACAGGCTGACACCTGGCCACGTTTACACGTCGGCCGGGGTCGAGCCTGTACACACTGACCACTGAGTCTCCTCCAGTCACTGCGTCTGGTCAGGTAGTTGCGTCGGGTCAGGTGTTTGTTGCAGCTTCCAGGTCTGGTCCTGAGTCTGCCCCCTGCTCGTGTCACCTCCTGTCTCACGAGACTCTCCTCTGGCACCACCGTCTTGGTCACCCCTCCCTGCCTCGTCTCCGAGGCATGGCTTCCCGTGTCCTTGTCTCTGGTCTTCCCCGGTCCCTCCCTCCCCTTCCTCCGGGGCCTGGTCCTTCCTGTGTCCCCTGTGTCGAGGGGCGGCTCCGAGCTGCCCCTCACTCCTCTCAGTTTCCCCCGACAGAGGCCCCGCTGTAGACGCTTCACATGGACGTGTGGGGCCCGGCCCGCGTCCGTGGACAGGGTCACGAGAGCTACTTCCTGCTGGTGGTTGACGACTACTCGCGTTACACCACAGTCTTCCCCTTGCGCAGCAAGGGTGATGTCGCTGAGGTGTTGATCGACTGGATCCGCGCAGCTCGTCTCCAGCTCAGGAGGAGCTTCGCCTCGGACTTTCCTGTTCTGCGTCTGCACTCTGACCGAGGCCGAGAGTTCTCCTCTGGCCTTCTGCAAGCCAACTGTCGTGCGCGAGGCATCCGCCAGACCTTTACGCTTCCGGACTCTCCACAGCAAAATGGGATTGCTGAGCGCCGCATTGGCATGGTCATGGACGTCGCTCGTACGTCCATGATGCATGCGGCTGCCCCCCATTTTCTGTGGCCGTTTGCGGTTCGGTACGCGGCGCATCAGATCAACCTTCACCCCAGGGTCTCCAGACCGGAGACCTCCCCAGCCTTGCTGTGGACGGGGAAAGTCGGCGATGCGTCTGCGTTCCGTGTCTGGGGATCTCGGGCGTTTGTTCGCGACTTGTCTGCGGACAAGCTGTCCCCTCGTGCTGCTCCCTGTGTCTTCCTTGGCTTCCCCCCTGACGCCCCTGGGTGGCAGTTCTACCACCCCACCTCTCGTCGTGTTCTGTCCTCCCAGGACGTCACGTTCGACGAGTCAGTTCCCTACTACCGCCTCTTCCCCTACCGCACTCCTTCCCTCCCCCCGCCACCGCACTTCCTTGTGACAGGTCCCCCCCCGGTAGACCCCCTCCCCCCTCACAATCCTGCCCCTTCAGGTGTGTCCCACGTAGATGCAGTCGAGCCGTTCGAGGTTGCTGGTGACTCTTGTACTGCTGCGGGTGCTGAGCCTGGGGGTGCTGACTCTGGGGGTACTGCGCGCGTGGGTGCTGAGCCTGGGGGTGCTGCGTCAGGGGTGCTGCGACTGGGGGTGCTGAGCCTGGGGGTGCAACGGCTGGGGGTGCTGAGCCTAGGGGTTCTACGACTGGGGGTGCTGAGCCTTGGGGTCCTTCGCCTGGGGGTGCTTCGTCTGGAGCTGCTGAGCCTGGGGGTGCTGAGTCTGGAGCTACTGAGCCTGGGGGTGCGGAGCCCGCGGCCGCTGGACTTGCTCGTATGGCGTCTGGCAGTGCTGGGCCTGCTGGTTCTCCGGGTGCTTCGTCTCGGCGGGAGCCACTCTCTCCACAGGAGCTGCGCGAGTGGTTTGCCCGGCGCTAGAGGCGTACTACTGGAGCTGGTGCTTCTTCGGCTGCTGAGGGTGCTGGTGCCGCCGGTCTCGGAGGTACTAGTCCTGCGAGTGCTACTGGAGTCGGAGGTGCTGAGGGTGTTGGCGCTGAGGCTACTGCTGTCAGTCCGGGCGGCGGTCCTGCTGCTGGTGCTGCTGGA